CTGCACACCCAGCCCCCTGTACCAAACCCCCCCCCCCCACACACACACACAAACAAGAACACACACCCCGCCCCCCTCCCCTGCAGGCCACTTTGATGAGGCGGACCTTCCCGAGGATGCCATGCTGACCACCATGCCCGTCAGCCCCGGCGACATTGTGGTGCTGGGCAGCGACGGGCTGTGGGACAATGTGAGCGAGGAGGAGCTGGTGGAGGAGGTGGAGCGGGATGTGCTGGAGGGTGAGGAGGAGGGGCGGGGTGGCGTGTGTGTGTTGTGTGTGTGTGTGTGTGTGTGTGTGTGTGTGTGGCGCTGGGGGGGCTTGGCAGGGCTGGGGGGTGTTGGGCGCTGAGGGGCTTGGCAGGGCTGGGGGCCTGGGGGCTGGGCGAGTGCACACCCTGTGTGGTGGTTGGGTGGCTGGGGGGCGACCTGGCGGAGGCAGGCGCTGGCAGCCCAGCCGGACCAGCAGCCGCCAGCCGCCGTGGGCCGATCCGCTGGCTGCGCGGGCGGCGCCGCCGTGGCGCCCTGAGGTGGCCTCCCACCCACCACCACCACCCCGCGCTCACCCCCTGCAGGCGTGAAGCCGTCGGTCATCGCCCAGCGCCTGGCCTTCCTGGCCTTTGAGCACAGCCAGGACAAGCATAAGGAGACGCCCTACAGGTGCGGCGGGCGGGGAGGGGCACAGCGGGGGCGCCAGGCAGCGGGGCAGGCTCTGAGTTCCGTCCCGCAGGCTATCCCCGCGCGGGGCCCGCCGGCGGCCTGTGCCTGGGAAGCTGCTGGCAGCTCCAGGGCCCGCTGCGCCTGCCCAGCACGCCCCTCCACCTGCAGCCCCCTGGCCCTCCCCACACTTCCGTCTCACCCGCCTCCCCGGCCCTGCCTTGCTCTCCCTGCCTTGCCCTCTCCCCCCACACCCACCCACCGGCCCCCCCTCACACACACACTGCAGCCTGGGCGCCAGCGAGGCGTTTGACATGGTGTACTCGGGAGGGAAGAGCGACGACATCACCGTCATGTGCGCCGTCATGCAGTGAGGGAGCGCCTGCAGCGCTAAAGCACAGCCAGCCCCGCACGGGCGCTCCTCCCGTCCCGCCACTGCACCGCCAACACACCACCGCACCGCGACTGTACTTGTTTACTTGCCACCTCCCACACACCAGCCCAGCCTGGGCTGCTCAGCGGGACGAGGCACGCATATGGCGCCGCCGCCCGTGCACCATTCGGCACGGCGGCGGCGCGGCGGCGCCCTTGCCACGCACCCCTAGCAGGCAGCGCGGGGCCGCCCCTGCCGCCGTGGCACCACCAGCACAGCGCCCGCCGGGACCTGCCGCGGCGCCGCCGCCAATCTTCACTGATAGACTCAGCACTGACCCCCCCACCACTACCAGACAAGACACGCACGCATTTGTTTCGTTCCGTTCCGTATCTGCCCTGTCTGCGACAACCAGCTCAGCCCCAGCCCCGCAGCTCCTTGCGCACACCTGCCCCCACCCTTCCAGGCCACCCTACTAGCCCTCTCCCACAACTCTCTGCCCCCCGTCTGTGTGCCCCCTCACCAGCGCTGCCCCTCTCCGCCCAGGGCGCGCACCCCTCCCTCCCCTTCCCCTCCCCAGGCAGTCACCAGGCTGCTCCTGTAAGCGCTAGTGATGTTGTTACACAGTGAGGCAGGCTGTCAAGGAGGCAAGCTTGGGGGAGGGATGTACATGCGCGGGCACACTGCAAGGGCGGCGCCGGCCAGCGCCAAGCCAAGGGGTTGGCGGCGGGCAGGCGGCGTGGGGCGGGCAGGGGGTGGTGGTACATGTTGCTAGGGCAGGTCCCCGCGTGCGGCGGATGTAATGAGCGCGCCGGCAGGCGAGGCGGGGCCGGGAGGGAGCAGGGGCCGCCTGGGGGAAGGCGGCTGAGGGCCGCGGCGACCGACGCGGCAGCACAGGTGGCGCGGCCGCAGGGGGGCACAGGGGTGCAGCGGGAGACAGGGGAGGGATACGGGGAGGTGCGGCGGCGCACGAACAGAAAGAGAGACGGGTGGAATGAGGAGCACAGGCGCTGCGGCGAGGGAGGCGAGGGTCAGGGCCCCGCCTCGCCAGCTGCTGCCGCGGGTGCGGGCCTAGCCTAGGTCAGAAACAGGGGTGGGGAGGGCGTTTTGGGTGTCCCAGCATGGGCCGGCGCGGGCGCTGGGTGGTGCGTGTGTGTGCGCGTGGGGGGTGTGCACCACGGGGCGTGGGCACGTGTGGGCGTGGGTGTGTGAGGTGTCAAGCCTTGTTCATCTATGGGGGGGCGGGGACGGCTGCGCCTTGCTGCCATTCCGCCCTAGCGGGCGGACCTGCCAGGCCGGGCGCCGATCGGCGCGCCGGAGCTGCCAGGCTGGTGGCCGCCCTCGGCGCTCTGGCTGCGCCTCAGAGCTTGTCCACCTTGGCGGCCACCACCTTGTTGTTGGCCTTGGCCAGGTTGGCCTTGTCAAAGGTGGCGTAGTCGAAGGGGCAGGCGTGGTCGCGCGCGTGCCGGTGCCCGCTGCAAAACACATACCCGCAGCTGCGGCAGGGGGAGGGAGGGGCGGCGGGTGGGCGGGTGCTGGGCAGGCAGCATGCGGGGCTGGTGGCTGTGCACGCTGCGATGATCTCAGGCCGGATGCCGACGTGGCGGGTTGCAGGAGAGAAGGGTGGAGGGGGCAGCAGGGGCAGTACATGCGCAAGGCGAGGCCCCTCCCACACCTACACCCACGCTCCCGGCACGCTCACCGGCACTCGAAGCCCAGCAGGCCGACCTTCTTCCGGCAGCAGAAGCAGCGGCCGCGGTTCTCCTGCAGCGAGCGGCACCGGGGGGCGGGCAGACGTTGGGTCACATATGGGGCAGCTGCCGGGCACATGCATGTGCCCAGCTGCGGGCTGTTCCAACTGCTTAAATCGGCTTGGATCCAATGGCCCTGCCGCTGCGCTGCTCCCGCGCCTTGAAGCTGGCAGCAGCCCAGCGCACCTGCACCGGCCTGTCGTCTGCAGGCTCGTCCGCCGGCGCGGCCTCGGCGGCGGCAAGGGCGTCCGCCGCCGGCGCGGCCTCCTCTGCCGCCTGCTGCGCGGGCGCCGCCTCAGCGAGCTTGGGCTCGGGCACGGGGGCTGCTGCGGCTGCGGGGGCTGCTGCTGGGGCTGCGGGGTGCGAGGGGCTGGGCGCCGAGGAGGCTGCCAGAGCCGAGGACTGGTTGGCCTTGTAGCAGACGCTGCAGAAGCCGTGGGTCTCGGAGCTCCTGCGGATGAGAGGGCGGGGGAGGGGCGGCAGGCGCTCAATAACGCGAACGCATCGCCCTTCGAGACCCGCGGGCGCCAACCGCCACGGCGCACAGCCAGGGCCCACCCCAGCGCATTGTAGGCATTGTGGCAGCCTGAAACCGGCGGCAACTTGCCCGAAGAACCCGCAGCCCGCGGCGCAAAGGGTGGGCTGCTGCTCCTGCTGCTGCTGGGCCTGGCTCTGGGAATCCATGGTGTTGTGTGAAGCGACTGGGTGGCCTGGTGGAGGGGGAACGCGAGAGCAAAGTGCTTTGGTGAGCCTCGGTCGAGACTCTTGCAACACATCCGACCGCGCTGGCATGTGGTGATTGGAGGACGCTACCGCCCCGCATGGCTGGGGGGCTTCATCGGGGATGGGAGCGCTGGCCGACGGCCTGGCTTGCTGGTGAGGGAGCGAGGGTCGCCGCCGCCGACCTACCGCCGCCGCCTGCGCTGCTATGTGTGCACGCAGTTGCCTGGCACACTACGCAATATCGTTGGTCATGCATCTGTTTCCTGCCGTGTGCACCTTCTCAGTGCACAGCAGAATCGCTGCCTTCTCCCGCGCCACATTGAACTGCTTGCGGAGTGGGTGGGTGTGCCGGGCACAGCTGGGGCTGTGGGCTGCATGCAACCGGCTCTAGAAGCCAGCGACTGCCGCCCACTGCAAGGATCTTGCAAATGGCCATGGTGCTCCAAGCATCCCTATTGCCAAGCAGCATTGGCCCAAACCTTGCGACGCAACGCTGTGGCCAGCACAAGCGCTCGCCCAGAATGCAGAAGCCAGCCGTGGCGTCTGGTCGGGCTACGCATCCAGGCTCTCGCAGCTGGCTCCAAAACGAGCAAAAACAAACGCCGGTAGGCTGGTCATCTCACAGAGAAGAGAGAGAGAGAGAGATGGTGAGCAGAGCCAACCCCCGCAAGCGGGCAGATTGGACCACCGCCACCTGGACCACGCTGCTCATCATGATGCCTACCCGTCGCGCTTGCAAGGCCCTGTGTGCAATGCAGTGATTGCATGTGAAAAACTGCGCTGCGCCATTCCTCGAAACTCGCTACTGGCGGCAGCGATACCGACGACGGCCGGCGGGTGCCTCATGCGCCTCCCATGCATGGCGGGCAGCTCAGCCTGCTCATGACAGAATACACGAGCATACCCCGATTGTAAAGCAAAGGGCAAAGGGTGCGCAGCGGCTTGTATGCATGCGCTCGCAGCCTTAGTTATGGCACCGCCGTCACGCTCGCCCCGCGACATGAGCGCTGGGCCAGCTTGTTGATCACAGGGGCCTCCTCGCTCGCCCCCCCGCTATTCCCTGCTGCATCACACTTGTGGCAGCTGTGGCAGCGAGCAGCAGTTTGGGGCTGCCTGCTGAAAGAGCCCTCGCGGCGCCTGGATGTCAAACTGCGAGGTGTTTACTGTGACCCCCGTCTTCGAGCTTGAGCAGCACCAGGTGCACGAGGTCCTGCGAATCCTGCTGCACACCATCGTCTTCAACCGGGCGCTGGGACCCGTCAAGCCCGTGGAGCGCGACTCGGAGCTGTTCGCGGTCACCTGGGTGAGCAGCGGGCGCGGGCCGCACGCCTCTGCCCCATGCCACGCCGCCCCGCCCCGCCAACGAAGCCGGTCGGGTGCAGCACCGCCCCCGCCCCGCCCGCACGCGCCGACGCAGCGCCTGCAGACGGTCTATGAGCAGGCGGCAGCCTATTTTGGCAGCGCTGCAGCGCACACAAGCTGCAGCCCCGACCTACCACGCTGGCCGCCTGCTGAAGCCTGCCCTGCTCTCCGCCGCGTGCCCCTCCCGCTCCTCCCTCCCTCGCTCTGTGCTCTGCCCCGCTGCTGCTGCTCTTGTCACCCGGCGGCGCCCCTTCTGCCCCCGCAGGTCGAGTGTGGCGACCCCGAGGTGTCCCGCAAGGTAGAGGAGAAGATAGGCCAGTTTGGCGCCTGGGTGCAGCGCAACCCCGGCAAGCGCGGCCAGGTGTGCCTGTCCTTCTACGAAAAGCGCCAGCGCCAGAGCTGGTTCAGGTGGGTGCTGCCGCTGCCGCTGCTGGGTGCTGCGCCGGGCGGCGGCGGCGCGCAGGGTGCTGGTGATGGGTGCCGGTAATGGGTGCTGCACCAGGCGGCGGCGCCAGGTGGGTGCTGGACGCCAGCCCCCGCGGCGGCGTGCCTCGCCCGGCGCTCGTGCCTCGCAAAGCGCCCGCGGCCCCCTGCCTCGCCCCCTCCCCACCCTGCCCGCGCCCCTCCTCGCCCTCCCCTCCCCACCCTTGCCACCTCAGCACCGCCGAGGAGCGGCTGTACTGGGAGCAGTGGGTGCTGGAGGTGGCTGTGGCGGAGCCGCCCCCCGCCGAGTTTGAAGAGCAGCAGGCGTTTGCCGCGTCCAGCCTGCGCGCGCAGCGGCGCCAGCGCCTGCAGGCTGCGATAGAGGAGGGGCTGACCTGCATCGTGCGGGCAGGTGGGTGCTGCGCCGCCGAGCAGGTGGCTCCGCTGGCGCCGCTGGCGCTCGTCCCTCTGGCGGGAGCATGGCCGCCGCGTGCGGGGGCACGGCCGCCTGCGCGGAGCTGGCTGCGCCGCGGAGGGCGCCGCCGGCAGCCTGCTCGCCTCGCCGACCGCGTTGGCCGCCGTTTGGCCGGCGTTTGGCCGCCGTTTGACCGCCATTTGGCCGCCGTTTGACCGCCGTTGACCGCGCCCGGCTGCCGCCCCGCCCTGCCCTGCCCTGCCTGCAGTGAACGACAAGCGCGACCACATCCCGCCTGTGGTGTCGGCCTCTGCGGTCACCTTCCCCTTTGACATCCAGGTGGCGGGGTGAGCTGGGGGAGGGAGGGAGGGGGGCAGGCAGGGAGGGAGAGAGGCCGGAAGAGAGGCAGGGAGGCAGGGAGGCAGGGAGGGAGGCAGCCAGGCAGGGAGGGAGGGAGGCAGGGAGGCAGGCAGGCAGTCAGGGAGGCACCCCCTGGCGCTGCGCCACAGGCGGGCAGCCAGGCAGGCAGAGGCCCTGCTGTGGCACGGCAGGCAGCCAGGCAGCCAGGCAGGCAGGCGCACCTTGCTCTGTGCTCGTGGCTAGGTTTCGGCCCGCTTGGCCTGCACCCCCGACCCGCCGCACCCTTCCCTCCCTCCCCGCCCTGCGCCGCTCCCGCCTGCCTGCAGCGACAGCGGCTCTGTGTTCAGCCTGGGAGTGGTGAAGCGCATGCTGCAGAGCACCAACCCGCCCTCCGTGCTGCACTGAGCCTGAGCCCCTCGCGCGGCGCCGGCACCCGCACACCCCCGCGGCGCCAGCCCTGCGTCCCCCCCTCGCCGCCGTACTGCTCGCCAGGGCTGCACCCCAGCCGTCCGCCTTCCGTATCTTCAGCCCTGCCCCTCGCTGCGGTCTACGCCCCGCCGTGGCGTCCCAGGGGCAGGCGAACCAGGCACCCCAGCAGTCGCACCAGCAACCTGCGCAGCAGCAGCCCCCGCAGCCCCAGCCCCAGCACACGCGGCATGGCAGGCGCGCCGCGCGCCCTCCCCCACTGATGCGCCAGCTAGTCGACCTCCTCAACACCTTTGCCGGCTCCGCGGCCCGCCTGCAGTCCAGCCTGCCCGCGCCGGCGGCCTCGGCGGTGCCGCCGCCGCCGCCGCCGCCGCCGCCGCTGTCGCGCGCCGCCGCCGCCGCGCACCCTGCGCTGGCGG